GGATATTCAGGCCGGTAAATGTTATTAATACTGTTTATTATAAAACAGAGCATTTACTTAAATATTTGTATCTATAAAAAGAATGTATAAACATAAAATTCTTTATGTATATAAATGTTTCGTCCACTGTTGAACCTTATCAAGGCAAATGTAGGCATTTCATTTTGCAACAAATATTTATAAACAGAAGTAAAAATTTCGTTAGTTTTACTAATTTTTAGAATTTGAAAACGTTCATGAATAAACATCAGGCAAACTGAAAAGTTGAGGTAAATTATGAGGGATGCAAAATGGCGTCATTTAATGTCTGAAAAACAAAAGGGAGTTTTAAATTTTCAGATGTTGTAAAACTAACTATATTTTTACTTTCGTTTATAAATGGTCATTGAAAAATAAAATCCTTACAATTGCCTCGATCAAATCCATTAGAGGAGGAAACGCGTTAGCTAAGTTGAGTCTTCCTTTTGCTTTTATTCATATATATATATATATATATATATATATACACACACAATGTAACCCGGATATAAGAGACCCGGATATAAGAGAAATCCGGATATAAGAGAGATTTTCTCTGGTCCCAAATTAGAGCCTGTGTTAATGTATATAAAATAGACCAAACCCGGATATAAGAGAAACCCGGATATAAGAGACTTCTTCTCCGGTCCCGAAAATTCTCTTATATCCAGGTTACACTGTATATATATATATATATATATATATATATATGTTGCCAGGTACGAAAAGAACGAATAGTTATGTTAGTAACATTTAATTTAAAAGAGGGCTCAATACATAATAGAACAATAGTATTTTTTTAGGACATTAAAACAAAAACATGTAAGAATCGCTACACAATTGCAGTCATGTTTCAACGCATAACGATGCGTCTCGATGTGTAGGGACTTACGTTTTTTGTTATAATATCTTAAAATAGCACACACACACACACACACATATATATATATATATATATATATATATGGGGGTTTCATACTGCTACACTGGTTGCCACCAAAGGCAACATAGACCCATCATCTCTGCTATTTAACTTATGGAGAATGAAGATGGTTTCATGCCTTTCTCTTCAAGGTCACAGGCGCGATGTGAACAAATTAAATTCGACCAGAATTTGAGCTCAGCTCGGCCAGTGCCCTTTCCCTGATAATAACCGTTTCAGCATCGGGCATATATATATATATATATATATATATATATATATATATATATATATATATATATATATATAACCACATCTTTTGGCATTCAGCATTCGGGTTTAAATCTGTTAAATATGCACATACAATTATATTCAATCAATATCCGTATTTCTACGTGTGTCCGGAAGTACACACGTATTATTTTACTTCTTGTATACGAAATCTAAGTAGGACTGAACTATTACTATGAATACCACTGATACTCAGTCAGCTAAGATTTGGTGAATTCCAGATTCTATTAGCAAAACAAGGAGCGAATGAATTTAATTTACGCCCGTTTATGCTACACCATCCCTGTTGGGTTTATGAGTAAGATGCCGGCCTCCTTCTCCACGACAACATTGTCACAAATAGGTAAAAGGAATACGATGAGCAAAGTGGGAAAATAGAGAGAATTAGGCTTATGGGATGATGATGATGATGAAGAAGAAGTAGTAGTAGTAGTAGTAGTAGTAGTAGTAGTAGTAGTAGTAGTAGTAGTAGTAGTGGTAGTCGTTTCGGTCACCGATGCCATCAAAACTGGCGGAAATCAATCTTCGTCGGTTTGCTTTCCGAGAACGTTTATTGGGGCCGGAAGCCATTTCTATAGCCGACCGAGAAGGAAGAACCATACACTAGATTAATTGGGAATAAGGTTTACACTAGATAAAGAAAACTGCTTATTAAGATCTACCCTCCCCCCCTCTCTCTCTCTCTCTCTCTGTCATTCTCTCTCACACACACATTTTATCTTTTTCTTACTCTTTTACACTGTCTCTCTTTCTTTATCTTCCACTCTCTATTTTTTCTCTCTTTTTATAAAGTTGGCAACTTTTCTTTCATTTATTGTACCCTTCTACTTTTCTTCATAGTTTTACTCTTTTTTTTTCTCCGTCTTTCTTACCTGCTGTCTTTATTTCAGCTTTTAGAAAACATTGACAAGAGAAGACAAATATTTCTTTATTTATTCTTTCTTGCTTTTTCTTTCTGTTCATGTTTCTTTCTTGTGTGCTTGCTTTAACTTAAAGCAAATTGAGAAGACTAATATTTCTTTCTTTCTTATTTTTTCTTTCGTCCTTCCTTTCTTTCTTTCTTTCTTTCTTTCTTTCTTTCTTGCCTTCAGCTTTCACGAATATGACAGAAAACTAATATTTCTTTCTTTCTTAATTTTCCTTTCGTCCGTTCATTCGTTCCTTCTTTCTTTCTTTCTTTCTTTCTTTCTTGCCATCACCTTTCACGAAAACGGCAGAAGACTAATATTTCTTTCTTGCTTTTTTCCTTCCACCTTTGACAAATATTGACAAGAGACTAATATTTCTTTCTTACTTTTTTCTTTTTTCTTTGTTTGTTTGTTTCTTTCTTTCTTGCTTCCTTGCTTGTTTGCTTGATTGCTTGTTTGCTTGTTTGCTTGATTGCTTGTTTGCTTGTTTGCTTTAACTTTCGCAAAAATTGATAAGACTAATAATTCTTTCTTTTTTTCTTTAATTGGTTCTTTCTTTCTTTTTTTCTTTAATTGGTTCTTTCTTTCTTTCTTTTTTTCTTTAATTGGTTCTTTCTTTCTTTCTTTTTTTCTTTAATTGGTTCTTTCTTTCTTTCTTTTTTTCTTTAATTGGTTATTTCTTTCTTTCTTTTTTTCTTTAATTGGTTCTTTCTTTCTTTCTTTTTTTCTTTAATTGGTTCTTTCTTTCTTTCTTTTTTCTTTCTTGCTTTTTCTTTTTTGCTTAGTTGCCTTCGCCTATCATAAAAACGACAGGAGACTAATATTTTTTCTTTTTTTTTTTTTGTTCTCTCTTTGACTTTTACAAATAATTGACATGACTAATATTTCTTTGTATTTTTTCTTTCTTCCTTGCTTTCACCTTTCACAAGAAATTGACAGAAAAATATTTCTTTCTTTCTTGCTTTCAGCATTTTTGTCTTTTTGTTCTTGTCGAACATAATATGTTTTTTAATTCCAATTTGTGCTCGATTGTCTTCAGGACCATTTTGCAGACAGACACATGGTTTTACAGATTGCACATATAATCAGAAGTGAACTTCTGCACATGCGCAGACGGTTTCTCACGCAGACAGAGACGGCAAGTAAATAGCAGGAAAGGAACAACAATGGAGAGAGTGGGACTAGAGGCGTGGAGGTAGAATGGACAGTAGAAACTTTTGACGGGAAATATTTTCCAGTCATTACTCGCAAATAAATAAATACACCTTCCATTTTGGACCGCCTGAACGACAACTGTCATCAATGGAGAGTGCCTGGAAAAATATATATATTGGCGATCAGACAGAGTTATAGTATTATAGCAAGATGCTGTATCATGTGACCATGTAGCCAAGCAATGAATCGGAAAAGGAAGTGTCAGGAAAAGAAAGGAAATAATTTTGTCGTTTAATGAAAGTTGATAAACAAGTTAGAAAATGAGTATGGATAATGTTAAATCGAAATTAAAAGCATATTGCTAAATTAAAATTAAGCTCCAATAGAAGCTCCATTGTTATAAGGAAATCATCGATAATGAGAGTGACGTGCATGATCAACGCTATCAAAATCAACATCAATTAAGTGGAACGACAAAAAAGACACCTACCTAAATAGAAAAAGACAGAAGCAAAACAGCAAAACGGATCAAATACTCTATCAGCGACATCACTAAAAATGAAACTGCTACTCAGGTTTCATGCAAGTGCATCCTTGTTTGTTGGTGAATGCTGCCATAATCCTTGTCTTCAGTTCATCTTTGGTGTTACAAGAAGTTTTATTGTTGCCTTGCTCAACTGCGCTTCACATAGAATTTTCGGCTACATCTAAATTGTTGAGATTTCGACACGAGTCTAATATTGCGCTTAAATTTTAAAAAAAAGTCTAGGTACCATAGCGAAGAGCTCATCCAAACAATTACCATGAATGTATTTATAGAAAAGACACAGAGAGGCAACGTTACGGCGGTGCGAAAGTAACTGAAGCCGAGCCACCAGATCAGGACTAATAATATTGCGGATTCTTCTTTGGATTTTATGAAGGGTCTTAAGGTAAATAGCAAGGGCACCGGGCTATATATGGTAGCAATATTCTAAAGAAGGACGAATGGTATATATAAACGTTATTTTTAGTGGATACTCAGATTTAAGTAGATTACCTATTTATTTACTATACAGTAAATTTATTTATTTTCGCCTACCGGCCTGAATATTCGAGAAATCTTCCTAAAGAAAAATATGCGCTCTCCGGCAGGATTCGGTTTACGTCACTCTGGGCAAAGAGAAACCGTTGTTAGATCCGACGTTCCTCAACTGATTCGGCCACGTAGTACTTCGTTGATCAAGCAGAGTTTAAAGTCTACCTTTAAGCGAAATCCTTCTCGTGTTAAATTACTGGCTGTTTAATAGATAAATAGGGCGTCTACTCAAATATGAGTATCCACTAAAATAACGTTTAAAGTGATAAAAATATGTCGGATTGATAAATAAAATCAATTAACTTAGAAAATTACACACACACACACACATATATATATATATATATATATATATATAAACATAAAACATTAGGCAGCATATAATTTATATACAAAGAAATAATCACGCATAGAATGCATACATTATACACTGCTAGCGATGGATGTCGCCAATAATAGCATTAATATTGCTGATTGATTCTATGCGTGATTATATATACATACATATATATATATATATATATATATATATATATATATATATATATAAGAAAAAAGAGGTTGTAGTGGTTCCAACGAGAAAAAAGTATGTATATCAAAAAGAAGAGAAGAGAGGTGCCGCAAACGTTTTTGGTTGTAATGTGGATTTATTTAGAAAAAAATATTATGCTTTGTTTTACATAATTGTACGACACGTGTTTCTGGTCTCGTGACCGTCCTCAGGTAAAAACGGAGATTTCCACATATTATTAAAAATAATTAATTTTTTCCTGTATGTTTTTCAATGTTAAATATTCTGGATATGAGACATTTTCTGTTTTTTGTGTTAGTAATCGGAATTTCTTTCTTGAATTACACACGCACACACACACACACACACATATATATATATGAGTTGAATATTTTAGAATGAATTATATATATATATATATATATATATATATATATATATATATATATATATATATATAAGTGTGTGTTCTTATAGCTTTAAATATAGGTAAAATATAAAATATACATTTTAATAAAATAAAAAGGTTACTCATGTAACTTGCTATGATATTTTCTGCAGGATTCCATCCCTTTTTACTTCATTGAAGAAATCGAAATAATTTATTTTTGTTGCTATTTAAAGTATTTACACTGAAATTTGTTGCGACGCTAGTGGAGCACGTCAGAATTTGATTGGTTTTCTTTTTTTTTCGTACTAAATTCCACCCATTACATTTTTCATACTAAATTTCAATCAATATATCTTTCATATTAAATTTCACCTAATACAAATTTCATACTAAATTTCACCAAATACATTTTTTATTCTAAATATCACCGATTATATTTTTCACTAGCAGCATGACCCGGCGTTGCCCGTGCTTGATTCAAAAATCGTACGACTCATACAGCAATGGCTATAACTTGACTTAAAATATTTTTTGCCCTTCCTTGCCTTTAAAAAGTGCCCTTCGCCATGCTGATGTTGCTACATGCTTTACTTCTTGCCTATCTCACACTGCGAATTTTTTCTAAGCTCTATACTAAACATAAAATCTGTTAATAAAAAAGGACTAAACAAAATGAACACAAAACGATCAGCTTTAAAAAAAGAACTCGTAACTGGAAAAACCGAATGAAAAAAGAATGTTAACAACAAATAATTATTATTTCCACTATCGATGGGAGTTGGGAAATGTAAAGTCGGTCTTGCCCTTCCCGCTAACTTGGAGCATGTGCATGTAAATTTTGGTGCAAATCCGTCGAAAATTTCGGCCGTGCATTCGTTACACAAACACACACACACATCCTGCCTTTTATAGATAGAGATACTAAATTTTACACAAGGCTCGTGGATCACTCACTGTAGAAAGTTAAAGTCAAAATGGTGATAGAAGTTTGCGATATAAATGGGAAGTTGTGAAGATGTTAAGATTATAAAGATACGTTAGAAAGATAAGGATTGAACCTTGATTTGAATTAGGTTAAAAATGTATTTTTCAGGGCAGCAGACACGCCGCAGTCTGTTACACAAAGACAGTTCATGAGATTAAAAAAAAAAATAGGTGGACGTTAAAGCTTGTATTTGGAAAACGGAGAAAATAAAGGTGATTAGATTCCTTGGAAGTAGTATGGCGTGTCCTCGCTGTAAAGGTCTGAACTGGTGGAAGTAAAAACTGGAATTCGTTCGAACATTTGCCATGGAAATAACGATAGAGTAGCAACAAGCTTACAACGTTTCGTCTCTGGAAAAGATTCTGAAGTGTTCGCTGGTAAAAGAGTTAATGCAATTAGAGTTATTTAATGATTTGTTTCTATCAAATACACGCCATTACGATAAACGGAACACATTTCAAAATTTGTGTGTGAGTTAGAAGAACAGCACTATTTCACTGGCCCTGAATTCATTTATACAATCAGGATTAGGATTGGTGTGATGAAAATATTACGGGAATGGCGAAGATTAAAACAATAAGTTCTTTCGTTATTCAGAGACGCCCAAAATAAATTTCCCAGTGCGTCTTTATCTCAAAGGAGAGATCATTAGAACTAATGAAATCCTATTTATGTTTTGTCGTTTTGTTGTTAGATTTTAATTATTTTACAAAAGATTTAAATAAGTTCAATCGTGGTATGAATAATTTGAGTCAAATCAAATTGTCGTTAGTCACGTTACAAGTCCATTAAGGTCAAAAGGTCACGACATGTACTTCAGCCATAACAGGAGTGGTGTAACTTAAAGTAAGATAGTCTGATGGAGCCAATCCCTCTTCATGCAGGTTTTGAACACAGCATTTTCCTTTTCTTTGATTGGCTGCCACCTTAAGGCAAGAGAGCTAACTGACGGAATATGGCTTCATACCTTCTTCAAGTAAATGAAACAGAACCCAGCAGGAATTGAACCCGGCACAACGAATTTACATAATATCCGCACCTCCCAAAGTAGGAAGGTTAAAAATTCGTTTATAATTTCTTAAAGCATTCTTTCGTCTTTAACAATTCGAGCTGATTTTTCTTTTTTATGATCCAGCATATTTATAAAAAATAGTTTAAGGAGGTAAATACTTCAACTAAAATGATAACATATACTGAAGAATTTAGCTGCACTAATTGGGATGAAGGTGAAAGATGAAAGC